GAGATACGTCATCATCTCCAGTCCCCTAATCATCTTTGTTGCTCTTTTCTGCACTCTTTCTAGAGTCTCCATATCTTTTTTTACATCGTGGTGACCAAAACTGAATGCAGTATTCAAAGTGTGGCCTTACCAAGGCATTATAAAGTGGTATTAACACTTCACGTGATCTTGATTCTATCCCTCTGTTTATGTAGCCTAGAACTGTGTTGGCTTTTTTGGCAGCTGCTGCACACTGCTGGCTCATATTTAAATGGTTGTCCACTAGGACTCCAAGATCCCTCTCACAGTTACTACTATTGATCAAGGTACCACCTATACTGTACCTGTGCATTTTGTTTTTCTTGCCTAAATGTAAAACCTTACTTTTTTCACCATTGAACTTCATTTTGTTAGATAGTGCCCAATGTTCAAGTTTGTCAAGATTATAACTCTCTAACATAACTCTCTAGATTGTATGCCTGGTTTACAGATGGCTGGTTCTGTTCCTTTGAGAATAGAATCTCCTATCACCAACACTCACCTTCCTTTTTTAGGGTGTGCAGTCTGTGGTGCTTTTTTGTTTATCTCAGCTGTATTTGTTGATGTGACTTTTTAAGGGGTATTTGATGATGTCTCTTTTCTAGGTATCTGCATGTTTTCTTTGAGTGGGCCTGCATATTTTAATCTAGGGGGAGAAATCAATTGCCCAGTTTTAACAGGGCTGCTTCTGGTTAGGTTAGATTGGCTTAGATGTATGCTGTTTTTTCTTTGGGTTTCCTTCTTTGTGTGACATACCTCCATTTATCTTCCTCTAGGGGTTTATTATCAGGGTCAAATCCTCTGGGAGTTATTTGTTCATTATATGGTCCAATTTGGGCATAGTTTTCTTGTATAGGTTGGAGTTGGGCTAGAGTTGCCTTTAGATTCCTTACTTTTTCTTCTAGCAGTACACATAGTTTACATTTAATACATGTATAATTTTGATGTTCTTTGGGCATAAGCACACACATGGAACATATACTGCATGCCACAGTAGTGTCAGTCACCTGTTCCATGAGTTTGTTTCTTTTTGCTGGTTCTTTTTGTGACAAAACAATTATGTAAATTTTGGAGATTTTATCTCAATCTACATGGAGAGAAGTAAGCAGTGAGTTACCACAAGGTTCCGTCTTAGGCTCAGTACTCTTCAATATCTTCATAAACGACTTAGATGAGGGAATAGAAGGGGAATTTACCCCTTCTATTTGCGGATGATACTAAGCTGGCAGGAATAGCTAACACTCTAGAAGACAAACTCAGGATCTTGACAGACTTGAATACTGAGTCCTATCTAACAAAATGAAATTCAAAGTAAAGAAAAGTGAAGTCCTATACTTAGGTAAGAAAAACCAAAAGGACACTTCTAAACTGGATGAAACCAGACTTAATAGCAGTGTCTGTGAGAGGGATCTTGGAGGCTAGTGGACAACCAGCTAAATATGAGCCAGCAGTGTTCAGCAGTGGCCAAAAAAGCCAATGCACTCTTAAATTGCATTAACAGAGGGATACAATAAAGATCAAGTGAGGTACTAATATCACTCTATAAAAACTAGTAAGACCACACCTAGAGTACTACATCCAGTTTTGGTCACCACACTATAAAAAAGATATTGAGATTCTAGAAAAAGTGCAGAGGAGAGCAACCAGGATGATTAGGCGACTGGAGACGAAAACATATGAAGAATCGTTACAGGAACTAGGCATGGCTAGTCTAGTGAAGAGAAGTACCATGGGAGATATGATAGCAGTGTTCCAATATTTGAGGGGCTGCCACAGAGGAGGCGGGGGTCAAGCTATTTTCCAAAACACCTGAAGGCCAGACAAGGAATAATGGATGGAAACTGAGCAAGCAGATTCAGCTTAGAAATAAGGAGGAACCTTCTGACAATGAGAACAGTCAACTAATAGCTTGCCCTCGGAAGTTGTGGGAGCTTCATCACTTGAGATTTTCAAGAAGAAATTGGAGTGCCATTTGTCAGAAATGTGTAAGGTCTCCTGCTTGAGTGGTGGGCTGGGGTGGACCAGATGACCTATAAGGTCCCTTCCAACTCTGTTAATCTGTTAGAATAGGCAATGCTTGGGCAGAAAGACAGTACCCTAACCTGATCAGAGTTATATGTGCAGGATGTTTGTTGCATACAAATCTATAGGAAATGCAAGTGGAGATTACAGGAAAATGTATGTCAATAAATTGAGAAATCATTCATCTTCCTATTGGATTGAGTGAGAAAATAGTGATGCACAAGAGTTACTGTTCTGGAAACAATTTTATTTATTTCAGCAGTTTTGTCTATTTAAATGATGAGGATTTGGACCTGATATTCTCCCCTTTACTAACCAGGTCCCATTGCTAGATCTTAATCAATGTTACAAGATATATGGCAAAAATATTTCAGGGAAGCATTTCTGTAAATATCTTTATTGTAAGAGAGAGTGGAGACTAGATCTGCATTTTTTATTGTATTTGTATTTCATGCAAAGTCCCTGCTTAATATGCATTTGTTTAGTAACCGCTCTAAGTTATGATAAGTAAAACAAACAGATTTATAACCAATAGTACTGGCTGCTGCAGTACTCCACAGACACATGAACAAACTTCAACTGTAAATTATATTTACAGTTAGCTCTGTGACCTGGCCCTACCCATCTGATCCTGCTTGCCATCATGCCCACTGCACCAAATGCCATCTGGAACCTTATTTCTCACTGCATTCTTTTGCACCGGTAAAGCCATGGGATCTCTTACAGGCTGCCAAACCCTTGCAATATTTCATACATTTCTGTTTTTAAAGGGGAAAGATGACACATGAGACTGTGATCTCTAGTCCTGCTTAAGCATGAAAAGCCAGCAGATAGACTTTGGGTCAGTCATTCTGTCTCATTCCAGCTTCTCACAGAATTTTTGTTGTGGGAAAAAATAGGAGGAGGAAGGAGTATTAGGTATGTTTACCATCTTGAATTATTCATAAAAATAATAAATGTTGGGTTAAAATCTTTTTTAAAAATTCATTTTTAAAAATGATTTTTATCATTTACATATGTACAATTCTGCTTTCTCATATACTTGAGATGCAATTATTTGCAGATCAAATAAGTTTTTCCAGACTCACTTCACCATATATGTAAAAATGAAACAGATTCCATTTACTTAAAATAACTGGAAGTTTTGCAGTGCAGAGAAGTTGAATCTCATTTGAATATGTATGCCATGTCATTTGGTGAGCATATGGAAACTATTGATTGTATCTGTGCCTTTGACAGGGACAAATGCTAAACATGGATTACGCTGTAAGGCATGCAAACTGAGCATTCACCACAAATGTGCAGAAAGCACAGGACAGCAACGATGCATGGGCAAATTGGTAAGCCAATATAACTATTGAATAAACCTGGAAATAAGGTTCAGTAAGAGATGTTGGTCTAACAGATCCCTCCAATCTTCTTGATTTAGCTGAGTTAAAGAAATATACTTGCACTACTAAAAGGTTATAGAAATCATTCCCTGTCTCTTTATGTTTACGTAGCATAGGTCCCTATTGGCAGATATAATATTGAGTATTTTCATTTTGTACATTCTTCTTTCTGCAAGGACTGTGTTGCTGATTTCTATAATCTTCTGGGGCCTCCTTACTGTGTTTTTGGCTATTTCCATCCTTTCTTTACTTTGCAAGCAATGGCAAGACTGAAGAAGTGAAGCAGTCTGCTGTTCTTGTCTTATACTCTGCTTTTTGACAGTTTGCAGATCTCCAATCCACAAATTTGTCAAAAGGCAAATAAGTGGACAGTAATACTGAGGAGGATCAGTTAAAGCTACCTTGACCAAGGGCCCTCTAAATTCTGGACTGTGCCCTAAATTCAGCAGAAAAGCAAATGTGGTTTCCTGGTTTCCTTCTGAATCAGAACAAAAGTCCTACTAGTTCCTTTCCATGAAGGCTCCATCTCAACACTTCTCTTACAACACCTTAATGTGCAAATGCCATCTGTATTATTGTAATAGCCTTATTCAAATATTCTTTTTATAATGTAAACCTGTAGATATATACTTTAAAGTAAGTAAGAATTTCTAAACTTTCTGAATTTCTAAAAAAATCTGAATTAATTTTTTCTCAGTATTGCTCTACAAATGCAGAGAGTATTTTCATGATTGTTGGGGAAAGTGCAGTTGTTGTAAGAATTAGAGCAGATACTAAGTGAATGAATGGGCTCTGAAATGCCTTTTTGTCTTTAAATTTAAATGTGTGTACCCAGTGCCTTTAATTTTCCTAATCTCATATCTTCATTTCCTTTCTCTTACTTTCTAGCCCAAAGGTTTCAGCCGTTACTACAGCAGTCCCCTTCTCATTCAGGAGCAGTTTGGATGCATCAAAGAAGTCATGCCAATTGGTAAACTCAAGATTAATTTTCTGTTTGTTATTGTTTCTCTTTTTCTGTTCTATGAACTTGATGTTCAGTGTCCTGTATAACTTTTATATGTTTTCATTCATGACACTCATTTTCCTTCCTGGAATTTTCCAAATCTTGTTGAAGAGGGAAATTTCAATAAAGAAAAAAAACACACAAATATTACATAAAGTTCATAAACCTGAAAATCCCCATGCCAAAGGCACGTTTGGGGACTGTTAACAACATAAACAGAATATGATTTCAAGGGGTTTTTTTCTCTAAAAGTCACAGGGATAAGAGATTCTAAAGGGTAATTGAGGTTTACAGCCAGACCATAATAAAATATAGTTGCTTTTGATTACTTAGACAGATGAAAGTAAATATATAAGTAGCAGGAGATGAATCACCCATAGCTAACAAAAATAAAAGGATTTAGACAACTACAATTCACTGAAGTAGCTTCCTAGCTGAATTATAATGTAAATTAGAACTTCTGAATTAACCTCTTAACTATTCTACTACACTGCCTTGTCATGGAGCATTTCTCCACATTTTTTGCAATGTTGTTTCCTCCTCTCCTCAGTTTCTGCTGTTACTATTGTGTTGTCCCCAATTCGGGTCTGATCCTGGTGCCGAAGCAAATGATGGACGCCAGACACGAGGTGCAGGTTTTCTGATTGCTTTTTATTGGAGTACTCCAAGGAAAAGGGTTCCTGGTCAAAAGGCCAAGAAC